GAATAACCAAAGATCCACATACAAATACCCGCGAAAACCTCAGAAAACATATATATATATTTATATAAGTATGTATATATTTTACACACACTGGATTAAATTGCATGAGAATCTAGATATGGCTTTCCACGGAATGGACACAGCAGGGCGAGGCGGGATGAAGATGACAGCCGGACGGGAGCCAAACTTTGGTGAGGAAGAGGATGGGACGGGCAGCTCCTTCGTCCCTGGCACTCTGTCTCCTGGCTAGGAAAAAAAAACAAAACCTCCATTCCAACCCCGCTCCTCCTGCAGAGGCAGAAGTCCCGCCGAGCCTCCCTGACACTGAATCCCATGTGCCCCAGCTCCACCTGGTGAAACACACGACTGCGCGGATCTGGGGTGCTCCTTTCCCCGCTTGTATTGCAGAGCAAGTGATGGTCAGCATGACAGAAAGAGAGCCAAGCGGGGTGCTGCAGAACGGCCCCCCCTTGCCAGTTCATGCTGCCCCACAGCTAGGGCGAGGGGGGGGGGGGTTTCCTACCCTCCCAGCTCTACCCGACATAGCCCCACCACCCCCGGCAGATTACATCGAGGGTCACAAATGGGACGGAAGCCTAGACTTTGCTGAGTCCGTATCAGGGGCGCTAATGATGGAATCCTTGCGGGCACCGCCCGGGTCCTGCTGAATGCCTGAGGCAGCTGTCCCAGGGTACGCGGCAGCCATGGTCATCTGGTGAGGGGCCCGGGCTGCCGGCCGCGATGCGACTGGCGGGGTGCTACCGGCATTCCGGCTCGAAGTGGCGGGCGACGACGGCGAGGCCCCCTGGCCCGCGGCGATCGAAGCGTTGGACTCGTGAGCCGAAGAGGGCGGGCTCTGGCTGGGCGTTTGAGGAGCGCCGTGGGGGAGGGAGGGTTGGGAGGCCGAAAGAGGCCGCGTCTCCTGGCTGAGACTGCTCGTGTGGAGAGCCTGGGTGCTTTTGTGAGCTGCCAGCCGCTGCGGAGAACCGGGCGGCTTCTGCTGAGTTAGCGAGAGCTGGGATCCCGACTGACCCTTGGCACCCCCGTACGGGAACGTCCGGCTGGCGTGAGGGCTTTGGGAAGAGGGACTGGACACTACGGAGGGGAAGGGGCCGGCTGAAGCAGCCATGGGAGGCTGGGGGGGTGGGGGCTGCTGCTGGAGGGGGGCATTCGGCTGTGGGGGCCGCGGCATGTTCTGGAACATCGGGCCACCCAGTTGTTGTTGCTGCTGCTGCTGTAGGTTCAGCTGCTGCTGCTGTTGGTGATGCTGCTGAAGCAAGGCTGGCGAGATGGCAAAGGCCCCAGGGAGGCCTCCTTGGTACTGCAGACGTCGGACCATCCGTGGGGACCCGAGGCTGATTGGGCCGACCAGCGGGTTGCCCATCTGCGGGCAGAAGCTCATCGCCACGGCCTGCTGGAGGGTGGCGATCGCTGAGGTGACCTGGGGCTGAGTTGGGGTATACATGGCGGTGTGCTGCTGGAACTCGGCCTGTTGAACCATCTCCCGGTCATACTTGACAATCTCCTGGATGATCTCGTTCTCCTGGTTGTTGAAAACGCCCGAATTGAGGTCGTGCTGCACCTTGTGCAGGAGAATGGAGTTCTTCTTCCCTGCAAGAGAAGAGCGGAAGGCGTGATTTCCTTGCGGTCCGAGTCCACCCTCCCAATGGTGCTTTTTCCAAGGGCAACTGGACTTTCTTGGGTTGTTGTTTTTTTTTTTCCTTGAAGAGGTTTCCCTTCTCAGCCGGGAAGCTTTTTCAGTTCTGAGTGAAGGATGGCGAAGGGAAAGATTTATATTCTTTGCAGCCATCTGGTCGTTAGCGCTCTCTCTGAGAGTCGTTGAGGCCACTTGAGCTTAGAGAGAGTATGAATGACCACATGACTGCAAGGAATATAAAGCCTTCCATTCTCCACCATTCAGTCAGAACTGAAGAAGCTTCCTGGATGAGAAGGGAAACCCCTTCAAGGAAAAAAAGCCCAAGAAAAAGTCCAGTTGCCTTTTGAAAAAGCACCTTTCGGACAACCATGACCTGGATGACTGAGAATCTCCATAGAAATCCAAGTCCACTGATGCCCTTGCATAGCACTTCTCATACCCATGGAAAACTACAGGTAGTCCTTAACTTACGACCAGCCGCTTAGGGACTGTTCGAAGTTAGGATGGATCTACTTGGGGTGGGGGGGTGTCTTACAACCCCATTTCAAAGTTCCAACATTTGCTCCCAAGTCACACAGCCACACTTTGGATGCTGCCAACTGGGCTGTGTTTACGGCTGTTTGCTGCATCCTGCAGTCACCTGACCTGAAGGCCAGACAAGGAATAATGGATGGAAAAGGAGAGATTAAACCTGGAAATAAGGAGAAACTTTCTGACAGTGAGAACAATTAACCAATGGAAAAGAAGTTGCCCTCGGAAGTTGTGGGAGCTTCATTACTGGAGGCTTTCAAGAAGAGATTGGACTGCCATCCATCAGAAATTATATAGGGTCTCCTGCTTGGGTGGGGAGTTGGACTAGATGACCTACAAGGTCCCTTCCAACTCTGATTATCTGTTATCTGACCATGTTTTATGATGGTTTTGCCAAAAACCATCTTTTTCTTACACTTTTTGGCACAACCGCACCCATAGCAAACCATGGGTTCATTTAATGAGTGTGGTATTTGTTTAACGACCACTGCAAAAAAGATTGTAAAATTGCGACTCTGACTTTGAGATATTCAAAGTGCTCAGGGTCACTTTGGGAGAGAGGGCAGCATAATAAACAAACAAACATGTTTTCAAAGCATTTAAACAAGTGGTTTCGCACATAAGATGGGACAGTTCATGGAAGAGTTAAGCTCAAAAACCCAAAACATCTTGAATGCAGGAAGTCCTCAACTTACAAACATTCATTTAATGACCTTCAAAGTTACACCATTGAAAAAAGTGTCTATTTTTTCACACTTACAACCGTTACAGCATCACAGTGGTCGTGTGATCAATTCAGACATTTGGCAACTTACTCATATTTATGACGGTTGCAGTATCCCAAGGTCACAGGAATCCCCTTTTGCGACTTTGTGACCAGCAAAGTCAATGGGGAAAGCCAGATTTGCTTAATAACTGTTTTTAGCTTAAAAACTGCTGTGATTCACTTAACAACGGTGGCAAGAAAGGTCTTAAATGGGGCAAAACTCACTTAAGAAAGGTCTCGCTTAACAGCAGAAATTTGGGGCTCAATTGTGGTCTTAAGTCGAGGATTACCCGTTCCTCTTAACGGGCAGCTCATATCTTCCAAATAAAACCTGGATGCCTTTTTTCCCGTGTTGTCCACTGGGACACCCTGGCCCATAATCCCCTCCCCTCCCCTCCCCATGCCAATTCCCCCAACGTACCAATGCGATCCAGCCGATCCAGAGCAACGGTTTCAAAAGCTCTCCTCATCATGGGGTATTCCTCTAAGACCTCATTAAAATTGTCCACCGAGAGGGAATACAAGCGGCAATAAGTATCCGCCCGCACACTCGCAGTTCGACGCCCTCTGGTCAGGAGGCAAATCTCTGGAGGAAAGATGAAAAAGCAAATTCAAACCCCAAAAACTGGATTCCAAATGATTTCCCCCTTAAGGATAGAAGAATATATACATCCTTTGTGAGGTTAAACCTAATTTCTTTCCGTCCTTCACAAAGCCTACTTAGATATTGAATTGAATTCTTTATTATTGTCATTGGACGGTATTGCATCCTTATTGTATACAACGAAATTCTCATAACACCCAGAGACCAGACTCAACATGCGCACACACATGACAATCCCCAAACACTTCCCCACCCGCCAAAATTCCCCCACCTCCTATAAACACACAAGCATCCCCACAACAGACCAAGTAAGACTGTCCAACAGCTCAACTGATGGTGGTCCTTAAGTTCATTGTGAAGTGCAATGATAGCTCTGGGATAAAAACTATTCAGAAAACGTGTGGTCCGAGTTTTAATTGTTTCTGTATCTTCTGCCAGAAGGCAACAGTTCATAAAGATTGTAAGCAGGATGGGAAGAGTCTCTGAGAATGTTGTGCGACTTCCTCAAACAGTGAGATGCGAAGGTGTCTTCCAGGGCTGGTAGCTGAAGCCCAATGATATTCTGGGCACTTTTAATGATTCTCTGTAGAGCTTTTTTGTCCGCTACAGAGCTGCTCCCGTACCATGCAAGAATGCTGTATGTCAGGACACTCTAAATGGTGCTGCGGTAGTAGGACAGAAGTAGATGTTGAGATAATTTATCTTCCTAAGCATTCTCAGGAAGTACAGCCTCTTCTGTGCCTTTTTTACAATCGTGTTAGCATTCATAGTCCATGAGAGGTCCTCCGAGATATAAGTGCCGAGAAATTTAAAACTACCAACCCTCTCCACCTCCTCACCATTTATGTACAATGGTAAATGTACACCTCTCTTCCTCCTGAAGTCAATTATAAGTTCTTTAGTTTTTTGGGGTATTAAGTGTAAGATTATTTTCTTTACAACACAGTGTCAGCCCTTGTACTTCCTTTCTATAAGCAGACTCATTGTTCTTATTAAAGAGACCCACCACTGTCGTGTCATCCGCCAATTTAATAATTGCGTTGGTGTTATACAATGGGGTGATATCTACTGGAACCAACCTTGTCTTTTTTCCCCCTTCAATTATTTCCAGTCAAGCTGGTTGCTATCAATGTCATAATTTTAAATTCAGTTCTTGTCTTTTTCTTTCCTTAATCCAAATATTAAAAAAAAATTAGGGCTATTTTGTCTTCTGGACAGTTTTGGGACCTTCTCATACCTATCTTGACAGCCATTTTGGGAACGGTCAAGTCTTCTTTGGCAGCCATTTTGAAAGCGAACCAAACTTATGTTCTCCAAATGCCAAAGGTCCCTCATTTTAGGAAGGAAAGCTGTCCCTGTCCCTCAGAATGCCACAAATATGAATGAAGACGGACTTGACTTATCTCACCTCCAAAGTAGGAACCATCTGAAAGCTTCATCTCTTTGTTGCCTTTTGTGAGGACACTGACAACTCCATGTTGGATGAAGTACATCTTTTTCCCGATGGTGCCTTCTCTGATGATGTAGTCCCCCGGTTGAAAGACTTCAAATCTCAGTTTGGTGAGCATGGCTGTGACAAAATTGGGGTCGGCGTTGGCGAAGAGTGGCATGGAGGCCACCAGTTTGCGACAGTTGAAGTTGACAATCTCCTGGAGAACGACAGACACACAAAAAATGAGTCTCACCATGATTTACATAAAAACAGCTCAGCTTTTTCTTAAATGTTCCTTTGGGTCAAGAGAGGACAAGTGCTCATTAATAGGACACCATGCTATTTTGGGGGAACATTCAAGTTCTCCTAAGAAAGCTCAAACTTTTGTGTGTCTCCCCATTTTTTAAAGTATGGGGTCTTAAATCAGTGTTTCCCCCTTGTGGACAAAGGTTGTGTGGACAAAAACTCCTAGAAGTTTCTGCTGGCTGGGGAATTCTGGGAATTGAAAGTCCTCAGATCTTATAATTGCCAAGTTTCAAAAACACTGATTTAGATGAATCGGCCTTAGTTAGCAGATCCCAGAAAGAGATAACCATGTTGTTCTAAGGTTGCCTAAGGTAGACTGCCACAAGATATGGAGGCTCCATTTTCAAATTGTCTGTTGAATGGCTGGTTGGGACTGGGTTAAGTTTAGTCTAAAAAAAAGAGAAGGACTAGGAGTAACATGATAGCAGCGTTCCAATATTTAAGAAGAATGGGTCAATCTATTTTCCAAAGCACCTGAAGACAGGACAAGAAGCAACGGGTGGAATCAAGGAGAGAACCAACCAAGAACTAAGGAGAAATTTCCTAAACAGTGAGAACAATTAATCGGGGAAACAAGTCTCTAGAAGTTGTGAATGCTCCAACACTGGGTTTTTTTTAAGAACAGATTGTCTGAAATAGTGTAAGGTGTTTGAGCAGTGGGTTTTATTTATTTATTTATTTGATTTGCCAATTGTTTACAAGATAATAAGTATAAATGTATACATAGTTGTGAATACATGAAATGGTTACATATAAGAAAAATAAAAGAATAAGAGAAACAATAGGACAGGGACGGTAGGCACGTTGGTGCGCTTATGCACGCCCCCTACAGACCTCTTAGGAAAGGGGTGAGGTCAATAGTAGACAGTCTAAGGTTAAAGTTTTTGGGGTTTGGGGAAGAAACTACAGAGTCGGGTAGAGTATTCCAGACATTGACCACTCTGTTGCTGAAGTCGTATTTCCTGCAATCAAGTTTGGTGCAGTTAACTTTGAGTTTGGATCTATTGGATACAAACTAAGTTTGGTGCGGTTTACTTTGAGTTTGTATCTATTGGATACAAACTAGGTTGGACTAGAAGACCTCCAAGGTCCCTTCCAACTTTGTGATTCTGTTAAATCCCACTATTGGACAATGAAGACCTTCAGCCAAGATCTACCTCTTGCTTCTCCACCTTCTCAAGATCCATCCCCTTCTGTGGGCTTACCTCTCGCAGGGGTTCGTTCAACTCCTCGAGGATGCTGTCTTCATCAAACATTTTGCCCTGGTAGCGATGTTCATAGTAGTCATGGATCTTTTGCCGGAAGTCAGCTGGGAGTTTGTGGAAGGACATGTACTGCTCCACTTGTTTGTACTGCAGGAGGCAGAAGGTGGAGGAGAAATTAACTGGGAGAATTTAAGCAGAATGTCTGACTTGGGGAATGCAAAAAAGGGAAGAGAAACCAAAGCAAGTCAGAGAAGGAGAAAGGGAGCAGACTCAGAAAAAGAGCACTAAAGACAGAGAAAAGTAGCTACTCTAAAGAAAGAGAAAACATAAAGCTTTGTTTATTAACATTAAATAAGAACTGTGAATTAACATAGTTAACATGGGAAAACTATCACATTCTAACTTAGTGTACTGCCAAGATAACGATATTGAAAGTGGTTGATATAATTTCTATTATAGAAACTTTTGTAAAGCTTTTTAACATTTTGTTCTTTGTAAAC